GGGGTCCCCCCTAACATTCCTACCAGACCCTCGATCCGAGCACAGGCCCGGAGGGCAGGAAAGGGGGGAGGACGATCGAGCACCCCCCCTCCCAGCACCTTATTAGGCCACGTGCCTTCAGTGAGCTGATGTCTCATAATACTATTCTTATGACACCTCGGCTCACAGACCCGAATGGCATTCGGGAGCTCCCGAATGCTATATGGTATTTGACAGGAGATGTCATTTTGCGTCAAGCTTTCGTCGGGTTTGGACGCTCGTCGTGCGGCGGGATTTTTTTTTTTATTTTGGCGGGTCAGCGGGCGTCATGCATCGTGATTGACGCTGGATTACATCAATAGAGCCATTTTTTTAAATTAAAGGAACAGTCAAAAAAAATTCCAATTATAGGATTTTTTCTAAAAGTGTGGTTTGTTTATTGACTTTGAATTTTAACCCTTTAGTGAATGAGTAGGGGTACAGGTACCCCTACTCATTCACAAGGGGGGCGGCATCTTGGTGCCCCCTTTTTTAAAGGGGTACCCCAATGCAAATAAGCCCCCTTGTCCGCAGACTCCCACAACCACTGGGTCAGGGTTGTGGGAAAGAGGCCCTTGTCTCCATCGGCATGGGGACACCCTCCCAATGCCGAAGGCACGTGGCCTGATTAGGGGGGGGGGGCTCGATCAAGGGTCTGGAATGAATTCGGAGGGAACCTCGCGCTTTTTTTTCTCTTCTGTAGACTGTCAAAAAAAAGAAAAAAAATTTTTCCTCTAGTGTCACTTTGCTGCAACGACATTTCATCTGAATTCGAATCCCGATACAAATGGACTTTCGGACCCGAATCCCGAAAAACTAAATAACGCAAAATCCAATTGAAAACTAAACAATTTTTTTTTGTGGGTGCACATGTCTAGTGGAGGCTCCCCTCCGCTTCCGTTATTGGTTGCTATGACTGCTGGCATCCTAGCAACCAATTAGGTCAGACAGGGCCAGCTTGTGAAATGCAAGTTACTCCCTTCCTTGTCAGTCGGCGGTTGTTGTAAATGGAGATTTAGGAACTGGGGTAGGTCCGTGGTATCACCCGGCCTGCCGCTGTGTCCTGCAGACTTCTCTGTATAGCTGGGAATCATTCATACAATACAGAGGGCCCGCTGTGTGCTGCTGGGACTGAGGACACCTTCACCCATACACCCTGTGCCTGATCGGACGGTGAGGTGCCTGGGGCATCGCCTGCGGTGAGTGTTCCTGTCATCACTGACGTGTTACCTTTATATCTGTAATTACTGTAATTATAATTATTGAGGAATGTACAGAATCTTCCAGAAATTTCTGTAACATTCCACGAGAAGTTTTCGAATGTAATGCATGTACCCCCAATACAGGATAATCCACACATAGCCACATACCCTAAACGTGGGGATGATATCTTGCCAGGGGTTGGCAAAGCCTCCCCCTTCCCCAAAGAGGCACCTTGTCTCCATGTTGATGAGGACAGGGCTCTCATTCCCACATATCGTCCCCAAGAGGATGAGGGGGTTTGTGACATCTTTTCAACTACAGCTGTAGTTTTACATTTTTTAGTTTGACTTCAAATTTCCAAATGACCACGTTCAGCTGTGTGTGCAATTTGAACTTCAGTTATTTAGATCTCTAAGCAGGTTTTTCTTTCCTGGCAAAGCCGCTAAAATTAGTATTAGAAAACACGATAAAAACTTATTTTCATAAATTAAATCTGTTTAAAATACTAAACA